TATGGCACATTTTTTGGGACAAAAAAATAGTATTGCAAACTTATAGTGTTATTATGTTTGCATGGAGTGCTAAAAATAGTCACAGCACGGACTTGGTTGTTACGTATGCCGGAGTTTGGACCCCCCTTTTGGTGTTGGAACGTTCCACGAGAACGCAAAGCAAAAAACCTGCCGTGACTCTCGTGTGCTGTCAAACGGCAGTGCGGAACGCTACCGTGAAATGAAATATACGTCTGTACAGCTTAAATCACGGACATATTGCTGTTTCAAGATCTAGCCTTATTTTTTGATAGGTTTAGGGTGACATGTACAGTAACAAAATACGTGCGTCAACACGTAGAACAGTATGCCGGACTTTGGACCCCTCCCGTTATTAAACTTATTCAACTTTGAATCTCATTAACATAATTTATGAGGAAATTCTTAAGAAAGTCTTTGAAAATTTAAGAAGAAGCCATTGTTGCCTACTGGACTTGGTTGTGCAGCCATACACTAGTCATTGTCAGTTGGCAGACTGACTCATATCCATAGACTGTCACGCCCACTAAAGCCCTTAAGCCATGGTACCATAAGTCATGAAATATTCACGGTGGTCTTAGAAAGGTGTTTTTGCAGCGACCTCTTATCACTGTTAAGTTTATAATATCACACTGTGAACATTCTGCCTGATATTATATCAAGTGACGTTCCCACCAAGAACTACAGAACACCTCTATTGCCCTAGGGAATAGATGTCTATTGAATAATATATTATAGCTTGTGCAGGTAACGCCTATACTATGAGTTTTACTGTACTATATGCACTGTCACATGGTCGTTATGTCTCAAGGCTATTTTTTTGTGTCTCATTCCATTGTGGGTGTGACTTGGTATTTGTGACAACCATGGCCAGGCACAGGCACCACAACAGTATACGTACTCAGCAGGTACTAAAGTATTACATGGATAGACTGATGAATGGTAGAGCTATACAACTTTTCTAAGTTTTTTTAGGTGCAGGTGTTTAGGCCTGCACTGTACCTGTTCCTAAGCCATCAAAGTTTTTCTTTTTTTAGCGGAAAATACTCTTTTTTAAAATCAAATTAGGGTTTTCGTATTTTGATCCGAGATTAAGAAATATACTCTCAAGTTTTCCTAATACATGTATTGAAGGGCTGAATTTTCAAAATTGTTATCTTTGAGATGAGTATACTTATCTTTAGTGTAAAAGATGGTGTTTTATTTTGTTCAGTTACACCAGATGGTCAGGTCTGCACCTAAATAATTTTATAGGTACATTTTATGTGACAAGTAAAAAAATGTTAACATGTACAAATAGCTTTCAAATTACCATTTTTTGTCAAATTCAAGTATTACTAAGTCTTGCAGAAACCATTTTTGAATGGCAGATGGACTATGCAGTTAACGAAAACAAATTGAGCTCTGCAGGTGGTACTAGTACAGTGTATATCGGTCCTGGGCACTCATTTATAGTATAATTATACAGTGCAATATGGAGCATTGTTCACCTGTATGAAATATGATTGTTACTAGTAGATCATTAGGCTCGTAATACTGCCTGCATATATCATGCAGGTTGATGCAGGCAAAGTTGCAGCTGTGCAGGTATTTCTATCTGATGTCTACCTATAACCTGCATTGGTCCATGTACTGGGTTTATACATGCATGCATTATGTGCATGTTGATTTTTATTACTGGAAAATACATCGGCTGTTATCATCAGGTATAAAGTGTCAAAGAATAATGCCAATGGTTTCTCAATATTTTATAGTATGTTCCATTCGTCTTAAATTCTGAACACTGTATGTGGGACTAAATTTATCTGGTGCACTTATTTAATTTTCAATGTTACCTACACCTGTACATTATGCAGAAAAAAGTATTTTAACTAAGTCCAGCAAATGGAAGTTGCATATATGAAACATTATAAGGCCATTATCCAAATTATTGATTACTGATTAGTGACATGATAATAGTTGTCAAAGCTAATATCTACATGTATATTGGAGTTGCAGAAGTACTGTATAATAAGAATATTTTTTCTGTCTGAAAATTGTGTCATACATTTATTATTGTACATATTGTGTATATTGTATATCATTGTAATATATATTTGTAACACAATTAATGAAATTCATGCAGTCCTAGATTATTAAGTAGATTTGCTTCCGTTAACAACAAAATTACAAATAATTGTGTCACAAATATACATGTTTTAACAAAAGCTGAAGCAGGCAAATCTGACTTATGAGAACCAAGAAATTGATTTAAAATAGGTACATGCATGCCCTCAGGTGCAAAGTGTTGTTTCAATTCTATAAATAGTGAACAGGAACTACATACACAGTGATAGTAGAATGTACAGGAGACAATATTTGTATATTACAACAAGTTTGTGCCTGAGATAGTACAATCTCTTTCTGTAGAGCACTAGATATATATTGGCCTACATTGTAGATTAAGTCAGGACATAGTAGAATTTGAAAGCTTTAGAATCTGTATTTGTCTTAGGTAATATTATGTTGGTTTTACTACTGAATACATTCATAAGTTCATAAGTAATCTGTCCTTCAATATGAGCTTAATATGTTATATGTTAATGGGAAGTGAAATTAATATTCATCCTCTTGGCATAAAGGACAATAATCTTTAGTGACTCAGATATGTTATAATAATGACCTTTTTCTGTCATCAAACAAATTGAATGTGAACTAATTCTAAGATATTTGCAGCCACTTCACCGTGGAAAGAGCGGCACAAAGAAACCTATGGAGTCTGAGGAAGACGACAGACCTATGGAGACCACACCCCTGAACAACAGTGATGGCTGCCAGGTTCACGTGAGGAAGAAGGCGGTCCCCTTCCACAGAAACCCTGCTACATGCCTGATGACGCTGGGCCTGTTAGCTGGAGCTGTTGTCCTTGCCTCCATAGTGGCTATTTATTCATGGAACACAGACAACCAGCCTATCTGTAATGACCCCTGCNCTCTTCAGTGTATGATGTCCTCCCAAGCCCAGCCAACTTGCATATCTGGGGCATGGCAGAGACCCCAGCATGTCCACTTTGCGGGAGAAGAGGTACCCTAGAGCACATTCTCAGCTGCTGTCCAAGGGGCACTGGGCGGAGGGGAGGTATCGCTGGCGGCACGACCAGGTCTTGAGAGTGTTGGCTGCTTCCTTTTGCAAGGCGATTCAAAGCAGCAAGAGTCAGATGCCACCTAAGAAGTCCATAACCTTTGTCAGGGCTGGTGAAAGTGCTAAGCGGAAACCCACTTCTGCTGGTGGGCTTCTAGCTACTGCGAGAGACTGGCAGCTCAAGGTAGATTTAGACAAACAGCTCAAGTTTCCAGATCACATCGTTGCCACGTCACTGCGGCCAGACGTGGTACTTTGGTCAGACTCCACAAAACAAGTGATCATGTTGGAACTGACTGTTCCGTGGGAAAGTAGAATAGTCGAAGCCCACGAGCGTAAAAGAGCAAAGTACACTGAACTAGTAATAGACAGTCAGAAGAGGGGTTGGAGGGCCCGGTGTACACCGGTTGAGGTTGGGTGTCGGGGTTTCGCAGGTCAGTCGTTGTCTAGATCGTTAAAGCTCCTCGGAGTAAGAGGGCCGCAGCTTAGATCCGCTATCAGAGACATTCTTGAGGCCGCAGAAAGAGCCTCAAGGTGGCTGTGGTTCCGTCGGGGGGATAGTTGGACAAATGCCACTTGGACACAAGTCGGGGACTGATCACCCCGGCTGGGTCGCCTGGATGAGGGTGTATGATGCTCAAAGACCCGAAACACCCAATGATTCCAGGTGCATCACTGAGGATGTGTCCTTGTCCGCACAGTACTTGTGTATTCTAGAAAAAGCCTGGTTTATGGGGAACACAATATAAGGAACGCTGTACTCACGAGTGTGCTCTGAATGTGTAGATTGGCTCCACATCTAGTGAGGCACTCCTGTGGAGACATACATTGCATCAACAGGTTTGTCCATCTTTCCAATCAAAACACAGAATGGCTGACCGCGGTAGACACTACAGCTATGTGAAACATTTACCGTCAAAAAGTTACTAGTCAATACCATCCCTGAA